CTGATCCGACAGACTCGAGCCATTCGGAAATTCTATCGGTCGGCCTGACGTGGTCTTCGAGAAATGAGGCTCTAGGGCGCTTCGGCGTAAGTTGCTGTAGGTTCGTCTCGAATAGTCGTGTTCGTTTCGTGGTAAGTAATGAAGAGGTCTCGAGATATGTGTCGAACCGCCTTTTTATGGACTGTGAGGGTTCGTCCATTATGATGAAGAAAAAGGAAATTTTCTGTGGTGGCTAGGCTGGCCGGCCAAAAAGGTCTAATAACAACCTTCTGTCGTGAGATATGTTTTCGGTGAGGGTGGTGGTTGGATGCGACAAAATCTGGGGCGGTTTTTAGGCAGTCGTGGGGGCTGCAAATGATTGGAATCCACTTGGTATGGGGTAACATTGGCCTATTCTTTGACTGTTTGTCATCCAATCAGAGTTCGATGGCTAATGGCTGTGTTGGTGTCTATTATGTCGTTAGGCTTGTTTTATAGGTATAAGTTCCATAGTGACGATGCCTATTTTACATCAACTGTGCCTAGAAGAGAGAAGGAATGTTCCAATCTCTATAAGTACCTCTTCTATATGGTTCCTTCCCCTATTGCAAATGATAGTATCATCGACAGACCAAGTCTTCACCTGGATAAAATTATTGTTATAAGCTAAGTGAAACGTCCTATAACCAGTGTCTGCAGACCATACGTTTGCCAAGATTGAAAGTATAACAACATCTTATATATTAAATAGAATAAATTGAGGCGGTATGACTGGACATAAGTCATTAGATCGCCAGATAGGTCGATTGTAATATAGGCAACCCTTATTAAGTCCAAGGCTAGCAATATTAGGAGCGGTCCTATAGTAAGAGGTTCAACACAGTCTACAATCTGATTGCTGAAAAGATTGTCCCTTGAGAAAAGGTAACAAACGTTGAGGCAGAATCCCAACCATTCACAAATCATAGTGCCGAAAATAAAGTTTGTCCTCCATAATCATATTACGTTGCCAGAGGCATAGGGGAAGCAGCAGCACATTCTCAGGTTAATATGACACTCAATAAGCTTGTTCAACCTAAGAACTGCCCAATAACTCGATCAAACTATCTCACACTTTAAAGTAGGAGTCTATATCTGACCATTTTTAACGATACATTATAGATATTATAACTCACTTGTCGAAACTTGAGAGTTGATAGATTCGTATGACCTAAGAGAAACCATTTATATCTACTTCCGATTTGTACATACACACGCTAGCAAGAGTGTAGATACAATCCGAAATCAACTCCAGTTAATGAACTGATCCACGACAGAGCTTGTATCTTCTGTGGAATCTTCGCCACCATCCGGGCTTGGACGAGAGCCAGAACAGGACCTGTAAGAGCTCAAGTAGTCAGCGACTGTTGCTTGGCCGTTCAATTGAGCCAAACGTATAGCCTGATCAAATTGTTGTCTAAAGTTCCCATCAATCCTGACTCCTGCGTTCATCAGTATGACCACTATATCCAGTCGACCATGTTCGGCAGCACCCTCAAGTGCAGTTCTGCCTTCCCAAGCCGAACGTGGAGCATTCATATCAGCACCATTCCTTAGCAACAGATCAACGATCCCAGCATAGCCATGAATGCAAGCAGACTGTAAAGCGGTGGCACCTCCACATCCGGCTGCCGGTGCATTGACGTTGGCACCATCGTTGATAAGATGTTCCACCATCCTGAAGTCGCCTACTTCGGATGCTCTTTGCAAAGGTGTCCTTCTTATCCCTCTAGAAGGAGGTGCATTGATATTTGTCCCTTTCTCAATGAGCAAACGAACCTTGCGGAATTGCTTGGCGCCAACCGCAATCAGTATTGCGGTTTCTTGAAGATAAATTGAGGTCGGGGGATTGCCGTCAACTACCACTCGTCTCCGCGAGATGATGGCGTCTAGTATCTCGCGCCCTTCGCGTTCTAGTATGGTTTCGAGCATTAACCTGAAAATGGCGAAGCCCAATTCGTCGTCTCGTTGAATCGCATCTACTAATGGAGTGTCCTCCTGAATCGACTCGTGTGCTTCATGGCCTTGAACTTGAGCTAGTGTTGGGAAATGGAGTTGGTGATCCAACAACTGTTTGATGAGATGTAAGTCCGCGCTGTATATTGCGTTGCGAAATACTTCAAGACCGTACCCCGCCTTCCCTCGGGTATATCTTTCGGAGAACTTTTGAAGGAGCCATGATATGATATCACCATTACGTGCGTCTACTGCTGCCGCCAGCGCTCCTGTATCTGCCGGATCTGCACCACAGAAGAGTAGGAGCTCAAGCATCTCTTTGTCCCCGGTACTTGAGGCTATACTAAGGGGAGTCTGTCTCTAGGAAGACTGGCGCTTTCGTTCGCTCGTGGAGCTGTGGCTCGAAAGTTGCCGAAAGCTCATTGCAATCGCGGTTTTTCCCCCTGCCATACCAGTGCCGTTTGTTTCACTGACCGTCCCTCCGCCAGATAAGTTGACTTCAGCTCCCAGATTTATAAGGAGATTGACCAGGCCTATGTCTTTATTCTTTACCGCTATAATAAGTGGAGTCATATTCAGGTCTTGATCCTCGATATTTATGGGAGCCTCAGCCAGTACTAATTCTGTGATAATAGAAGTATCCTCCCACTCTACCGCAACTGTCAACAGTGGCGGTCGTTCTCGGAGATTTATGTCTGGCGAACTTAGCAATTTACGGCATAGGCTTGCATCCTTTAGGCGCAATGCGAGGCTCATAGGGCTACCGTAAGTGTCCCCGGTCCTCATGTCGACGTTGGGGTCGGCACCACGTGCCAGTAGCTCTGTTGCGAGCTGCTCATGTCCTCCTTCAATTGCGTAAAGGAAACCCTTTCCGAGTAGTTCAGGGAAGTGTGGGCCGTTAACAGCGAGGAGTCGGCTGACTATGTCGAGATTTCGGACATCAAGAGCAGCATTAAGAGCGGCGTAATAGGGCTGGCGGTCGGTGATGTTGTCCCATGCACCATGTGCTTCTAAAAGCGTGATTATGCTCATATCATTTGTATGTATAGCTTCTGCAAAAGGACTTTGAGTCATGAACTTGCTTTCAGAAAAGACTTTGGACTTTTCTTGGTGTAGGATAACAAAAGATATGATATCCTTGTTTCGAGTTTTGACAGCCAAACGCAGCGCATCCTTAGATAAAGCAAATTCGTATTTGCATACGAGGCGACGAACGAGTTCGGCATGACCCTACTGATCGCCACATCCAGGAGATAGAGATTTGGCACTTGTGGGCCCTTCAAGGCCTGGGTAATAATCGAATCTTGTAATATAGGATGTAGGATTCTGCATACGGCGCTATCACTTATCTCTTTATGTTCGAGAAGATCCTGAAAGATGGAAGATTTGGACCACTTCCTGAGATCATGGAGTGTACTGGAGTTGATGAGAAGTTCAAAGATCTCTCCATTGGGGTCTCGGAAGCGAAAGGTTGAACGCAGGAATAACTCGGAGGATACGCGGGCACCCCATTGAAGCAACAATTTCACCAGTTCTAGAAGTTCAGGCTCTGTTGCCATTTCGCCGAGAATGGCGCTCTTTCCTGGTCCGTCTAAGGCACAATGCAGAGCTCTATTGCAGTCCAGACGATGTTTATCCTGGTCGACAGTTCGATTAACATTTGCGCCATGCTCAAGAAGTAGTTTGGTTATTCTCAGATCCCGTCGCATTGCTGAGAATTCAACTGCTGTGTATCTTAGACCGTCAGAATGGCGGCATACTAGATCATTTGCGTTGATGAGGAATTGTCGGGATTCTAGGAATAGCTCTACTGCATCTGCATCGCCCGCTTCGAGCGCACATTGAAACAGTTGCTGCGCAATCGCTCTGCTTGAATGGCTCAGAAGAAGACTAAACAAACGAGGCAATCGTATCCCGAAGCTTGACTTCAGGAACTTCCATACTTCTTGACGCGTGACTTCAGACATGCCAGCAAAGTTAATAGCGATACCGAATATTAGCAGCTTGAAGTATTGAGAGCTAGGTGACGGTGGCCGAGTGCGAGATAAACTCGTAGAGTTGTACATGTAGACCGCTTCGAAGTTCCTCACAGCAGGCGCCAAGAATGCCAGAATGTCAACATCGATCGAGACACTTTCATCATAAGTTTTATCAAGAAATCGTTTACGACATCGTCGGTTTGGATAGACCTTTCAAATTGAATCTCTACCTCGATAGCAAGGCTCGACAAGATCCGCGGATCGATGTAAGACGAAATTCGCGATGGCTCTGGAATCACGTCTTCAAACACTAGCTACCTGTTAGCATTAAATACCCCAATGACCTGACTGTCTGATAGATCGCACAATCTGGATGGTGTAGAGCTTGCAGTACTTGAAAAGTTGGTAGCTCATTTGTATTGACTGTTACTCTTACTTGCGGTGGTGGAGTTCGGAGATGGACACCTCGGCGCACGTCTACCGAATGGTCTCATTCGAAGTTAGACACTAAGATCTCTAATAGCCTTTCTGCATGTTCCTTGAGGAACATAGGGGATATACCTGAATGCGCATTTCCTTCACGGGGAAGACATCCATGTCGTTTGATCTCACCGTGTAGTTTCGCATTTGAAACCGAACGACCGTCTAGGAAGACTTCCGTTTTCTTGTTGCCCAGCTTTTCTCGACGTTGTATCGATCGGGCAACGGCTTTCCAGTCCTCTCGTTTGTGATTCTTTCGGAGGCCCCATTTCTTGAACTGCGTCTCATACTGTGACTTGCTGCACCCCAGGTGAACACGAGCAATGGACGTCATTTATTGCGTGTTCTAAGACTGCGAAATGTGTGACGTTTGGAAGCACCTATAGACTTCAAAGAAGTAGGGCATCACATTTGTAAGTTTTTATAATGTTGCAAAATAACGACTTCGGCCAACAATTTGGAAAACATAACAGGTGATCCACCACGTTTTCACCACCTTTACCCAATTTGACCCGTTTCCAGCAAACCAGAAGAGAAACTCCAGTGACAAACCGGGCTACGATAGTATCATGGCTTACCCATCCTTGAAAATAGTTCGGCCTGTCTGAAGCCTGTCATCTCTGCCATATAGGCCATTCTCCCGCGTATGAACTTCTTCTGGCGAGCAGTGGCGAACTCGCTCAAGGTTGTCGCTAGCAGCGGATATAGGCAGATCATGCCGGCGAAGGACTTGGGGTCGGTGGGCGCGCCGCAGGGAAAGAACGGCGTCGTGGTACTGTCGCCGCTCCATTTGGTGAAGTAGGGAACGCTGGAGACAACACTGGCGACAGCGTCTTTGCCGAGGCGTTCGACCTCGGCATAGTCAGATGTGGCCGTGGGATCGCACGGTGCACAAACCCACACCATGCAGCGGGCTACGATGCTGGCCAGGACGACGCGAGATGCGTTCGTGTTGAGATGCTTCCCCGCCACCCACAAGTCGGGGTAGTCGAACAGCCAGCCGGGAAAGGCGAAGGCGTCAGCCAGCCTGTCGTCGGGTACGTGCGAGATGTAGCCGACTACTTTGTGCGCGTAGTGTGTCGACGATGAGCTCTCCACCCAGCTTGTCAGCTTGGCTAGCAGTTGGCGGGCTTGCTGCAAGAGATTGAGAGCCCGATCGATCTTGGACGTTGTCTTAGAACCCCCCTTTAGTAGAGCGTCCACCTCAGCGCGCAGCCGTGCTGTCTTCATATTCAATATCAATGCCATATGGCTTGTCTTGTCAGAGATGACATTCTCCCCCCACCACGACATCTCTTCCCAAGGGGGCGGACTAGATAGAAAACCGAACATGTACTGGCGGATCTGAGAGTTGGCAGGTTAGCATCAGAAAAAGAACAGTCTTTTGTTCAAACAGAGGAATAAAGGGCAAGGTAAAGGCTTAGGTCATGGATTCACCATTGCTGATCGCACGAATTGAAACATCTCTAAGAAGTCTTGCGTGCTTGAATCTACAGCCCCACGGAGACGAATAAGCGCCTTTGCGCCATCCAGATGATTGGACCATCCTGAGAGGGCAGTGATGGCATTCTGGTCGGTCGATAGCGCCTGAAGAGGAGCGAGAAGTTTAGCAAACTAACCGCGCGGCAGTGGAGGATAGGGGATTAGCCCCAACAGACCTCGCAAAATGATAAAAGAATGACAGACGCTAGGCAGAGATCATCATTCTTCGGCGTTTTCTGGTCACTTAGCACTCGATTTAGTTGATGAAGCGCCAAGCTGTAATACATTCTCGCCTTTGCGAGAAGGGGCTTGGAGTTTGCCCGTCCTGCAAGTGCTGTCGTGGCTGCAGCTTTGAAGCACAGAGGAAAGGGAGAGCCCCTAGCAGGCAGCAAAGCCAGCATGCGGGGTATGAATGCCAGATAGCCTTTCCCATCGCCATTGTGCGGCATCATAACAAAGTTAGAGAGAAAGAAGCAGGTTGCTTGGTCATCCACTGGTGTCTGCAGGGTATATAGTATGACGAAATTGGTACCGAACTCGCGGTCGGTTGAAATGTCCGTGCTCCCTAATGCTGAGGACATCCAAGAGGGCGATAAGCCACGGGAAAGCAAGTTGATTGACGTAGATGCCGAGTGCTGAGAGGTCAGACCTCGTGATTGAATAGGGTCCGCCTGACTCCAAGGCGCCAGCGACTCTTGTTGGCGGCCGGGGTCGGCATGCCTCGGAGTCGTGAGCGTAGCTTTGCGGATAGTAGCCTCGGTCTCATCTCGTATTGTGATCTCGGAGGGATTCCAGTAGCCAGGGCAAGCCCTTTTTGCCTTGCGACACTTCAGACACGAGGGCTTGCTCTCATCACACTTGATTCTCCGCGTTCGACAGAGCTTGCACGCCCGGCTTCGTTGCAATGTGCTCACCATGCTAGTAGTGCTAGCAAACCAGGAGAGGACCTAGAAATGAAGATGCGAATGCTCGTCGAAGCGCTATTGAAGAAAGGATGAGTGGGTGACCGTGGTGGTTCAAGGAGAGTAATGAATGTTACAACAGGAGACAGTGCTAAAGAACCCAATTCGTCGCGAATGTCAATTTGTAGGAGCTCTGAGAAGTTCGAAAACGCCACAAACCACAAGACTATCACATGCAGTCTTGTTTAATAGGGTTGATTTTGAATGGAGAACAAGGTTTGCGTGGCGCACTATCGGGTAAAGAGCGGTTGTTGATGCGAGACCAGGATGATCTAACCATGCCTTCTCGTCCAATCGCGGCGGAAAACAGACTTGATTGGCACAGACTACCACGAAACTCCGGCAGCATGCCAAGGTGAAACATGAAACAGGTTGCAATAGAATAATGAAACGAACCAAGTAGTTAAAAAGCGCGGGCCTGCCACTGCGCACGTAGAGCTAACTGTCTATCTGTAGTACTCTATAATCCTCCAAAGCCCTTGATCGGGAAGCGGAAATTGACATGGTAAGTCTCAGATGTCAATCCTCCTGCAGACACATACAGAGACTTGTCCGCCGCCTTGCTCTCTTCAACACTAGCCCAGCCAACCACGGCTACAAACGTAGCGCCATCGAGGGAGAAACCGCTAGCGACGCCGGTGCATCCTGGCAGTGACTTGGCCGTTTCAACAGATTCACGCATCTTGTCTTCTTCAATGGTGCAGTTTGAATAAGTGAGCACTTCGACGATAGATGCGTCGATGACCTCCTTCGGTGCGTACGGAACAAACCGAATAAAATAGCTAACAGCTTCGCCGGATTGAACGGTCTTCATCTGGTCCGTGGCGGCGGTGAAACCGGATGAAGCTTTCCATGTATTGCAGGCGTCGATGCTTTTCCAGCCTACTTATGATTAGGATGGCCAGAGCGTAGCCATTCAATGGAGAGGTCAGACGTACCAATAAGCAGTTCTAAGCGCTGCATGTTCTCGCTGCAGGGCCCCCAACGGGTGCGGAGGTATCCGTCTTGCTTCTTCAGTGTCTGAAGAACTACTTTGAGCTGGTTTTTCCAGTCTTCAACACCACCCACGACAGGAATAATCCATCGCTCAGTGACCGAAGACATTGTCTGCTAGGGCGACGGAGGATTAGAAGGGAGGATGTCAAGGGACGCTATAATGAGAGTTTTGCTGCCTATGATGAATGCTCAAGATGATCATCTTGGATTTACCAGTACAAGTAGGCAACCGTCAACATATCTTTATACCCCATAAATACGTTACCAAAAGCCGCCACCCCACGGGAGGGCCATTGTTTGTTGAGCATAAACATCCCTTGGCCGTGGAATTCTAATTCCACATCATTGCTCCCTCGGAGTTCCGAAATCACTGTGCTCGGAGTCCAGTGTCTGAAGAATTTTCTCCAATCACTTCCGTTAACTTCGAATGGCCATGATCGGCTTTTACGAACACTGGACAGTTGAGCCCCTTTTTGATATATGTCGCAATGTTTCTATCGAATTACCCGATTGGGCACGAAACGACATGTTTCTCTGGGCCACGTTTCTTCAGGTCCTGAGCGCTCTTGTGGTGGCGATATGTCTAGCAACTAACCGCTTCTCGAAGAAGTCAAGACCGGGTGTCCTCATGTCATATTCGTCCGTCTATCAGAACGTTTAACGAGTCCCAACATGAATATCATGGTTCCTGCTTTGGCCACGCAGGCGTCCTTGCCCTAGGTTCAAGTTTTATGTGGTCGCGTTGCCTTGTTTCGTGCTTGTTTCGTAATTCACAGTGCCGTTTCAATGATACTGTCCCCCGCAGTCATCGCGGTTCCGCTGACGGCTCCGTCTTCATCGCTTCGGCTGTTGCCGAATCGATCTATGTATCGGTAAATGTCGCCAATATGATTGAGCGCTAATCAAGGCTTGATTCTCGTCCAATACAGCATCTTGCCATAATCGGTCAATAGCCCCGATATGATTAGTCTTAGACCCCTGCCTCTATGAAAGTGATGTTACTGTGGAGAGCTTAACGAAGTTCGGGGACTGACTTGGTGTGTAATACTAGATAATAGTTTCCATTTGCTAAAGCTCGTTTTCATGAGGACTCGTAAATAATTACCAACAAAGCCTGACGAAGTGAAGCTGGTGATATCCATCATCTCCAGCATTCAAATTACGGCGTTCTCAGACATTCAGTGTGGTCGATAATTTAATCGACGTGTTGGGAGTCGATTGAAAGACGAAAGGAAACCTCGAAATAACATGTTTTGTACGTATTGTGGCAAAAGTTTCAAGCGGAAAGAGCACCTTGAGAGACACATTCCTTCTCGTGAGTGTCAAGACTGGTGTCTTTTTGCAATTTCTGTGTTGACTCTATATTCAACAGATACAAACATTAAACCCCACCGGTGTATACACTGTCAACTATCGTTTGCACGAAGGTAATGCTAATATAAACTCAACTCGTGGTTTTTAGCTACTGATTTCGTTGGTAGGGATCTTTTACAAAGGCATTATCACGCATATCATGTAGTGCAAAAAGAAATAGAGTCATCCTCCCCCGGGGTGTCAAACGTTCATGGACGACCACCTATTGCCTGCTTGCAGTGCGCTGAGGCAAAAACAGGGTGCAATAAGGCAAATCCTTGTGGTCGTTGTGAGAGCAGAGGACTAGAATGTGTGCCAAGATTTGCCCGGCGCGTCTCTAAGCTTGCCGTTCAAGCTTCCAAGGTAGTTGATGATGAACAAGGACAAGCGGATAGGGGGGACATGTCCCAGCGCCCTCCCAGTCGAATGAGTGGATCATCTCAGGACTGTCCAAGTCCATCCGAGAAACCAGACACCGAATCGACATCTACAAAAGTCCCGTCGATCGCCGACCACACCTCGATTGACAGCCATAACAATTATCTGCACAGCTGGAATGCAAAGAGCAACATCTATCAGAATTACCTAGATTCGGGAGACACCATTGGTGTGACGGAATCAGAGCTTCCAGGATTCGACATCCCCAGCGCCTTCCTTTATTGTTCTCCCGAGCTCGAGCCTTCCTTAGACCAGAGCCAACTCTACACACCGCCGATGAGTTTAGATGATTCACAAGATGGTCTCCAGTATTTACAAACACTACTTGATATATCTTCGCCGGCCCCTCTGGGGCCACCACCATCCTCTCTTGAAACAGAGCCTACGGCCCTATGCAGTTATTCCCCAGTATGGAACCTCAAGACTCCGATGAAGACAAGAGAAATAAGCGATACTATCTCGTCTATTAGCCACAGCACGGTACCAAGACTCGAATCTCACCATATCTTACGCGCCGCAGAGGGCTCCTGGCCGGTGGCAAACTGCCTTTCACGGACCTCGCCATGTCCACAGACATCAACCATTCATCTCGAGGGCTTAGAGAAGAGTTTGCAAGATGAGAGCATTTGGTTATTGATGGAAGAAAACCTAGACGACTTGGATCGGTTGGGTATGCATGACGATGTTCAAGAACTTCCCTTGGCTCCATTTCTAGTGACCCCGCTCAACTCCCGGGCACGAGAGCAACTGCTCGCACTTACGCAAAGTTTCCTAAAGAGAGCGCTCGAGGTCCATCGCGGAGCTAAACAAGAACTCACTCCCACGATCTCCAACTTCGTGTTCATCGTCCTGCCCCCGAACAAGGTGCTGGAGTGCTTCTTGCGCAACTGCGTCCGTGGTCTAGCGCAGTTCTACCCCCTGACCACTCAGGAAACTGTAGATCCTAACGAAATACTCTTAGACAGCAATCGAGGCGCAACGCTGCTTGTCTTGCTTATGATCGCACATGGCGCCGCTCGACTGTCTACTTTGGAAGGGCAAAGCCTATATGCGGGCCTGACTGAACTATGCCGTGTCACGTTCTGTGAAGCATTAGAGAAGAACCATGCTTTGTCGACAGATCGTGTCACGTTGCAATGTGCACTCTTGCTTTGCATCAACTGTGCTTGGAGCGGTGATAAGTGGATGATGGATTTCGCTCTGGGGCGCAGTGCGACCATGTTAGCTGTGAGTGTAGCCGATCAGTCTATGCATGAGGCTCGCTAACAAACCACAGATGATGAAACAGGCTGGAATGTTCGCACCCAGCCGGATTCAGATGCCAGACATTACTAGCTCGATGGCATCTGAACTCCAGTGGCAGATATGGCTGCGAATGGAGCATCAGAGCAGGTAAGCCCAGCCCGTTCCGGGGAACAATGGTCGGAGGCTAACATCCAATAGGCTTGCATGTAACTTTTTGATTCTCGATCATGAATTGAGTCTATTCTCCGACTCGGCCTTATCGCTGACACTGCTGGAGCTACAGAACGACATACCTGGGCCCGAAGCTCTTTCGAAAGCGTCCAGTTCCGCTGAATGGCAGGACATTCTCACAAAAAGCTTGGAGATACGTGAAATTGCCTTCTCTAGATGCTCTGTGCACGAATTTTTCCAAGAGTTCCTGCACGGAGATCTTCTTGCCACACGGGGAAATCTTCTCGGTCCGTACCAGCTTCGACTTTTGCTATATCCACTACACAGTCTCGTCACCCACCTCACACAGCTGCTTTCCTTTGCGTCGCTGGGAACCCGAGGTCAGCGAACATGGCCGAATCGAACCGTATTGATGAACCTCCAGCTAGAAGAGACGACAATGCTTTTACAGCAGTGGTACAAGATGGCCATCTATCTCTGTACAGACGTCAACTGTCCCACCTGGCGTGCCAACTTTACTCTCTATCACCTGTCCGCGCTCAACCTTGCAATAAGCATTCCAAATGTCGAATCGGCTGCCCGGGCGGAGAACAGTCAGTCTCGATGCGAAAACACTACGCTAACCCTATCCTGTCAGTTGGCCATTCGGGATTTTCCCGAGGCAGTATTCCACTCTAAACAAGCTGTACAGCATCTTGTAGCGATTGCGCCCTCTTTACGGCCATGTTGGTGGAGTCTAGCGCTTTACCGTGCAACGATTGCTCTATGGGCCTGTACTGTGGCCAAAGGCGCATTTAAAGAGCCTTATGTAAACTCACCAGTCAATATTTTGGGTGCTGGAAGCCTGGGGATGGCCAACCTGTCTTCAGGAAACGAGCGGCCTTGGAGAGACCGGACGGGATTGCCCGTGTACGATGATAACAGTATTGTGTCATTGGAAGGCGCTGGTAGACTGTTAATACATATGCTTACGATACTAGGCGATCTGGAAACATCTAAGCTGGGCCAGGGATTATATAGGAAGATCGTTGGGATGGGAATTAGATGGGGGCAGCTAGATTATGACAGTGGCGGTGCTTTAAAGGCTCTATAGGGTGGTGATGTTGTCTACATATATTTCGTCGACCCTATGATATGTACTAGATTGCATGATAGACCGGTTCTTTTAAATCACAATTCGGCAGACTAAAGAACATTGCAGGGGAATTTCCATGAAGACAATGAAGAGTCTTCGGAAATGGAGATACACTTCTTACCAAAGTCATCATTCACATGTTCGGGGAGTTTATATAAGTCTTGGTAGAAAGACTTGACGATTTTTACTCTGAAAATCTTGGAGTTTCACTGCTGTGCCCCGGGATCGTTTAGCAAGCCTCTAGGTTGAGAATATGCATCGCGAATGCGAGGCAGCACACGGTGTGTCGATGCAGGTCTCATAATGACATCGATCGCTGTTGAGGAATCGCTGATAAAGGAACCGTAACACCCTCGAAATTCTCCTCTGTATTTCCGTTTTGGTATATCCGGAATGTCCGGAGGACCTGCCACTTTTGCCTGAGCTTCTTTCGGTGGTGCGCATGTCGCAGAGGTGATGCAAAACCGGTCTCAGCCTCCCTCTGTGCTACATACTTTGAAGGAGGTACAGGTAAAGCTAAGCCAAATTCAGTAGATTTATCTTGGTCGGTATGAAAATGTGTTAGACCTTGCAGGATGCATACATGTCAGATTCTGCTCCTTCGGAATGCCAAGCCTGTTGAAGGACATACCATTATCTTCCATTCATTTCAGCTAGCTCACTTGAGTTACTGTACTCCGGGAGCAATGCGTTGATGCCATCGAGGTATCTAAAAGCTGACTGTATACCCGCTCCCACCTTCAACTCATTTTTCCTTTATTTGCGT